TCCATAACCAACCTCTAAGTTTCATAGTTACTATATTATTCTCATTTTAAAAATAAGCCAGATGAAACTGCCAGGCCGAAAAAAATTTCCTTTACCCTTTATGTTCAGTTATTGGAGGCTTGAGAATTAAAGTGACAGAAGATAGATAACAGGGGAAAAAGAGGTTTATTCATATGCATAGGGAAACTAACAAAAGTAGCTAGCTCACTAAAAGGTTAAAGGTTAAACTTAGTAGTGAAAAGGGAGGAGGGAGAAAAGGCTTCTATGGGAAGAACAAATTGGTTTCTTTAGGAAAGACAAATGAGGTTTTAGAACAAATGAGAGATAAGAAAGTTTGTGATAATGTTTGTTTATGCAGGTGCTGTGGTCTTTCTGTCTTCTTCATGGCCATGCAAGTCCCTCCAAAGAGGGGATTTATGGCAGCCTCATTTCCCAGAAGTTGCTGCTTTTAGTCAGATAAAGGAAGTTCCAACAAGGCTTCTTCCTGTGTCTGATGAATCTCAAATGTCTTCAGCTTACAATAATCTCCCTACCAACTCCAGGGTTTCAAATAGTTCTCCACATGGCAAAAGAGGGTCACATAGCTGCTGAATGGTAGGGCCAAGATCTGAACCCAAGTACTCTTACCCACAAGGTTATTTGACCCAAGTCCTGTCCATTCTACCATGAATATTTAGCTGACTGAATGTGACATGAAACTTTGAAGAAATGGAATAATCTTAATCTTCTAAATGACTCTTATCTTCTATAATAATTTGACCCTAGTAGCTAAAGTTGAAGCTGGACATTAATTTAGAAGGAGGTGTAAACTTTGTTGTTGAATTAGGTTTTGAACATTATTGTTCAAAATGTTCAAATGTTTTGAACATTATGGTCTAAATTATCAAGACAGGCATGGGATTTTGCATCTCTATTTTATATGCAAGAAGATGCCTCTATTTTGACATGATTTGTCTGAGGGCACCTGAGTTAATGGCATATTTGGTAGAAAGTTTCCTGACCTTGTATTTTATTATTTTTGCCAATATACCACCTAGTATCATACCTTGGGTGTGACTGAGAACACTTTTCAAAAGGAGAAGGGGAAAAAGGAGAAGCAAGTCTTCCTTGGTTCTTGTGAGGTGAGTAGGTGGGGATAGACCAAGGATGCATAATTTGTTAGAGGAAAAAGAAGTGTGCTCAAGGTATTCATTGCAACTCTAGATGTTGCATATAATGATATAATAACCAAGATAACATCAAATTCACAGTCTTCTTGCTTTCAAGGACTTCCTTTCAGATCTAGAGGGCAAAGGCCATCCCAAGATCTCCTAGACAAAGGTCTTATTTTTGTCATAAAATGAAATCCCTGGTCCAGGGACTCCAGAACTCCAGTGAGGCTGCATCCAGCTGTTGCCTTCATGCCCTGAATTTAGTGGGAGAGAGTCAGGCTTGGCTGATACTGGATTCCTCCACTTTTCTCCCCTCCTCTTCTCACGTCTGTCCATAGAGGCCACTTGCCCACACTAACTACAAAAGAGTTCTTAAGTTTGGGATCCCAAAAGATCCCATCTGCCTTAAGCCCAATAAAAGGTATGGATGTGACTTTGAGCTTTTCTTTGGGATTAAAATTTGAGATGTATTGAGAGTAGATTCATAGACCAAAGCACCAGGGGCAAGGAAGTCTGTGTTTCTTTTGCTTTCTGCTTCTTGGAACAGGATGTTCTTGCCCATTTTAGCCACTATCTGGAAAGCAAATGTCTTAAAGGGGACGGCGTGTGCCTGTGGTGTCTGTATCTCTACCAGCAGAGAAGTGTGACCTCAGCCCACTAACCATGGCTCCAATTACCTCTTTATGACCTCCAGTGAGGCATGGGGGACTCATCACTCTCATAATTAGATGCTCACAGAACTTATTTATATGTGTTATGGTTGTATGTTCTAAGGGAAGAGGATCTTTAAACATCTGGACTACAGTGTCTTAGGAAAGAAACTTGGGGAGTCAGAGATTCATTGGGTAGAGGGGACATTGAAAAGTCTCCTCATCTGCTGTCTCGCCTCTAAGGAGAAGCAAAAAAGAAGTAGTTTCAAAATGCCATCTTTAAAAGACTTGTACAAAGGTGATTTTGCCTCTGTCTGGAAATCTCAGATGGAGCTATGCCACCTTCATCGTCATGGTCAAATACAGGTTTCTCTTGCTGTTGGAGCCCATTCTTCTTGGGGCATCTGCAGGCCTGTTGCTTCCACCCGGAGGGCCCTGTGCCCTCCGCTCTGACCAGGCCAATGGGTTTCATGAGAATTCCTCTATAGCCATGGTGAGAAAGTGCCTTTTTTCCACTTATTAACTGAGTAATCTTGTACAATTTACAAAACTTCTCTGAATTTTCTTTTTTATAATACAGAAATAGTAATGCTCTATCTACCTTGTAGTGTTGTGAGGTGAAAATGCTCAGTACATAGAAGGCCTTTAATAAATGTGCCTTGCCTTTTCTCCTTCACTAAAACACAACAAAGAAATCATACCATATGAACCTGTTTTCCAAAACATTTTTTTCCTCACCTAACTTTTTTATATCATCATGCATTGAGCACAAATACATATTGAATACTGCCATTTATATTAATTGTTTTGTCTACATAGCTGACTAGAATGCCAGCTTCTTGTGGACAAAAAAAATGGCCCTTCTCTCATACTTAGCATAGGCTATGCCACAGGAGTGGCCAGCAAATCCTTATCCAGGAGACCCTGACAGATGGTTCATATGATCTTTAGAAGGTCATCCTCTGTTTTTTCATCTCCAAGTAGAAGAAGGTGAAGAGTGCCTCACATAAACCCTATCACATAGTAAATGTTGAATGAAGCCTATTTTGCCATCCTCTTCTACAGCCTTTCCCTTACAGGTGTTGTTGACCAATTCTTTGGCTTCCTCTCCAGATCCTCTCTGACTTTTGTCTTATTTTTTTAATGAGTAAGACCTCTTTGTAAACCAATGTAAGCCAGAAGAGGCAACACCTCTTCTTTGGCAGCAGTGATATAGGAATTAATACTTCACTGAATCTTCCCTGCTCCCAGATTATCTTTCATTACTGAGACTTATGCGTTCTTTAAGTAGCAAATCTTCTGGGTGGAGATAATAATGTGTTTCCAGGAGCCCCTGGGTATCATAGAGTGACTGGGATATAGGGACAAGGCCATAGTGTAGGGATAATCTCTGTTGTGGAGAAGAAACTGGTATTATCAGAGCTCTCTATGGTTTCACATGATCAATTCTATCCTAGGAGATTGGCCCAGCCATGGTAAGAACAGGCAGGAAGAGACTGCTATCGTATTGTGTTGATTGTGCAGTGACATCACATCATGGCATTTAGCATGCACCAGACATTGTCCTAAGTGCTTTACACATATTCATTAGTCCTTATGACAACCCTAGGAGGTAGTTATTATCTTCAGTTTATAAAACTGAGATGCACAGAGGTTAAGTTAACTTGCTCAGTATTACAGAGCTAGTAAGTGGTAGAGATCTGCCGATTCAAACCCAGACAAGTTAGCCCCAGACTCTGCTCTGATGCCACAAAGGAATAAAAAGAAACTTGACTAAGGGATCCAGAATCCAGAATTTGTTGTCAATAGGGCTGCTGCCTCCCTGGACAGAGGAGATTTGGCCCCACATTCTTTCCCCTCTTGCCGACCCTAAGTTTATTCACCCATGAAAAATATCACCCACTAAAGAAACAAACAGCTTTTGCAAAATGTTGGAATGTGTGTGAAAAGTGCTATTTGTGATGGTGATGATGTGGAGCAAAGGAACGGATCTGGGTTCTGGTTCTGCCTTTGCCACCTACTTTACTGTGCGTGACACTGACAAGTGGCCTCGACTCTCTGAGCCTCAGTTCCCATGGCTGTTCCAGATGATCTCTGCAGATTTCTTCTTGCTGTCATAACATGTGGGCTCCTGGTCATTGGTTTGTCTCTGTTCAGTCCACTTACAGCAACCTCTGTTGTAGATATTTGTCACAATCCCACTGGGTCCACCTAAGTGCTTAATTTGAGGAGTTGGGAATGAGGCGAGCTTGAGGGGAAAGGTGCCTCTCAGTTTCTAAATTTGCTTACCTGTGATATATGATCTTATAAGAGATAAGCTTACTTCTATCCACTGGATTCCAGCCGAGAGACCTGTATGCTTTTCTAGGAGCACAGAAGTGAATTTTGGCTTTGACTAAAACTTCTGATCCCAACCCTACCATTTGCCAACTGGATTACCATGATTGAATATCCTCAAATGTAGGAATGTCTACCTTGTAGAATTGGAAACTGGAATGATTAAGTGAAATAAAAATTGAATATATATACGTATTCTAGCGCAGTGTTGGGCACATAGAAGGCGCTCTCTTTCCTTTCGAGAAAGGGGAGAGAGGCTTATGATCCTGGTCAGTGGGAATGCCCTCTCTCTGTCCTTTGGAGCTTTCTGGTTACCCCCAATGTCTATTCTGGGTGCTGGCAGTTGTGAGTTGTGAGACTGTTTCCAATGCTAGCTGGAGGGTGGAGGTCCCAAAAAGACCTGTTCCATGAAGGAACATTCTTTTTCTCTGACAGCAGGAAAAGGATGGAGAAAAGAGATCTCTTGGGTAATGCCAGTTTTCCCCTGATGCCCCAAGACAGTGATGGCCAGAGGAACCTGGGAGGCTCTGTGGAGCCTAGGGAGGTAATGTGGTGTCTCCCCCGCTCCCCGCCAGGGAGAAGGAGGGTGCCAGGACTGTGGTGACAATGACAGTGGAGGGAGGGTAGTGGAGTGGTGGGAAAGACATCTCTGTCTCCTTGTCTCCTCCGGAAAGAGCAGTGAGAAGAGACTGCAGGGAAGTAGAGGGAAGAAAACTTTTGAAGTGAGCAAAGATTCTAAGAGCAAGTGGGAGAGCAGGGAGGGAGGGACCTGGGGGAAAGGGGTGGAGAGTGAAAGAGTAGGAAGAGTGGGAGGAGGGAGGGCGACAGACACAGAGTCAAAAGGGGGTGAGAGAGTAACTGACAGGCTGAGAGCTGAGAAGAGTGGGCAGTGGAGGAGGCGGCTGGGAAGCCTGTGGAAATTTCAGAGAGGAGGACCAAGGAAAAGGTAAGGATAGATTTGCTTTTAAGAGCTGAAACTACCAGTTGATGGGAAGGAGCCAGAAGAGAGAGCCTGGAGTTGCAGGCTGGAGAACAACAAAGCTCCTTCTCTGTACCTGGGGGCTTATTCTCTCTATCCCTACTAGTCATTGGGATAGTGAGGTTGGGATATATTGAGGAGGATGGTTGTGAAGCAGCAGAGAAATTACTCACTTGATTTATAAGGAGCTGTAGAAATATGAGTAGAGGGCCCTTGGAGTGGGTCTACCTCTGGCGAGTTGCTGCCCTCCAGGGGCATCTTCCAAGCAGCTCAGCGGTCCATTTCCAAGAAGTTTGGTTAAGATGGAATTGGCCCTTTAAAAACAAAAACCATCAGTGTTTTACTGTGCTTCCTCTAGGCTTGGAATCTTTTTTGAAATGCTTTCTGCAGCATCTACAGGAGTGTTTTGATTTTTCCCCCCTAAGGCATGTTGGGTGGTTTAAAAATATTCCCTGCTTAGTTTCCTGCAGAGTATCATGTCCCCGCTGTGTACTCTGAGCAATCTGGCCGCCACGCACTCTTGCTGTCGGGGGAAGGAGGCTAGTGAAGACCCAGAGTGGAAGTGGAGAGAGATGCCCACTGATGGTCGCCTTTCCTCCTGGGTACAGGGTGAGGTAGATGGCTGCAGGGCACAAAAGTTTCTGTTAGCAACCTGACCTTTCTTGTGAGCCAGTGGCGAAAGAACCCAGATTGGGGGTTGAGATACCTGGGTTATGGTGCCCTGAGTGGCTGTGTGTCCTTGGGCCAGACACTTCCCCTTTCTGGGCCTCAGTTTCCTCATCTAGAAAATGAGGGGTTTGCAGGTGACCCCGGTGGCTCAGTTGATTGAGCATGCCGCTCTTGATCTCGGCTCAGGTCTTGATATCAGAGTTGTGAGTTTACTCCAGCGTACAGTCTACTTTAAAAGAAAGAAAAAGAAGAAAGAAAAAAAGAAAGAAAATGAGGGGTTTGAAGTGGAAAGATCCCTCCAGTTCTGTTCAGCAGTAACATTGTACAAGGTTATGATTCCTTAGGCTCAAATATACCTCAAAACCATGAAAAAGGGAAGCTCAACACAAAGATTTCACATCTTTACTGTGCTCTTGTTCACTTTTAACTTGATCCCCCCTCCCAGTATGCCATCATGTGGAGGGATTCCTGGTGTTTCCTCCCCAGCCTCTCACAGGGCTCTGGCACACTGGGTCTGGACTGGCCAGAGACAAGGAAGGGCAGAGTGAAGAGCACTGGACAGGGAGTCAGGAGACCCAGGTGAAATCTAGCAAAACTGGAGAGGAGACGAAACCAGTGTGTGGAGGTGTAGTATCCTCATTTGCCAGGTGGCATGGCTCACCACTGGGGACACCAGCTGGTATTTATAGGCACCCCAGCCTGACTTTCATATCAGTGGGCCTTCATCTTTTCCGCCCAAGGCTTCCAGAGTTCCGGCTCAGCTCGAGAACCTGATTCATTGCTCCCTAGGGACAGCTCTGAACTTTCCACCTTCCAGCAGGTTCCCCAAGGCAGCAGGGCTGTTTGGAGCCTGCTTCCCTGGCGTCCCTCCACATATTTTCCTTACTCAGCAGCTGCCAAAGAGCAGTCTCCTGATCACGGTGTGCGTAACAGAGAAGAACTGGAGGTGTGTTCCCTGGCTTCCAAACTGGTACCCTCTGGCCATCCCTTCACCCAGGTACATGAAGTTCATCGAGCCACAGCAGTGACACAATTGTGTTGTCCTGCTTTGCCACAGGCTTAGAACCCCATGTATGTTCTTGCTGGGCTCTTGAAAGTGGCTGTTGTTCTTGTCTCCTAGCTGCCTGACTCCTATCCGCGCTCTAATCCTTGCTTAGGCCATTAGGACTGGAAGAGGCCCATTAGATCGCCTGTCCATTTATTTGACTAACAGTAAAAACAAAGTCTAGAAAAGAAGTGACGCACGAGGGATGACGCAGTGAGTCAGGTCAGTTTGGTTGGGAGAACATCCTGCTCTGCTCACTCATACCCAGGCCCCTCTGACTTCCATCCTCAGCTGTGTTTTCTGAGCCTCCGTTTCTCCCTAGGCCTCCCTGCTTCTTCCATTTAAGTATCTCTACCACCTTGTTTCCTGGCAGCAACATTTACTTGCTCACCTGCTCCTCATCGTCTCTGCTGGCTGTTGGGGGGTGAGTGCGGTGGAGGGCTCTGGGCTCTGGCGGCCTGCAGGGTTACCACAGTGCAGCCTGGCCTCCTGGGGGCTCCAAAGGTGAGAGATACCCATTTTTCCAGGAAGGCTTCAAATCTCCCTGCTGACTCCCTTTCTATAGTCAGAAGCTGCGGGTTCTTGGAGAATGATAGCTTGATGCCACTTTGTGATTCAGTTGTTTCTGGATATTAGCAAGTCATGGGCAAGAAAAATTCAGTCACCTTCATAAAGAAAGGCACTCAGGAGTTCTCAGAATCAGAGGTATTAAAATGGCACAGAGGGATCTTAGAGTTTATCTAATTCAGGAATTGGGCAGAAGGAAGAGCCTGGGCATCTGGAGTCACATTTGGGTTAGAATTTCAGCTGTGTGACCTGGAGCAAATTATTTAATGTCTCTGAGCCTCAGTTTCTTATCTGCCAAAGAGATTAATAAATGCCTTTCTTGTAAGATTTTATAAAGATTAAATAAAATAATGTAAAATAAAACGAAGGTTTCCCCACTAACCAACATTTGCTTTATGCCACCTCGGTTTTACAAAAGACCTATGTTACAGTACCTGCTTTCACTGGTGGAAATTTCACTTTTATGAAATGGTCATTGCTTCTTCGTTTTATGCCATTTCAGCTTACAAATGGCTTCATAGAACACTCTACTTTTTTGGATAGTGAGGAAACCTGTATTTAAAATGACTATAGTGGGGGATCCCTGGGTACCTCAGTGGTTTAGCGCTTCCTTCGGCCCAGGGGATGATCCTGGAGACTCGGGATCAAGACCCACATCAGGCTCCCTGCATGGAGTCATAACAGACACAGACATAAGCTCTGTGTCTCTCATGAATAAATAAATAAAATCTAAAAAAGAAAAAAAAGAAATAAAAGAAATAAAATGGCTATAGGGGCACCTGGGTGGCTCAGTTGGTTAAGTGACTGCCTTTGGCTCAGGTCATGATCTCAGCGTTTTGAGATGGAGCCTGGAGTTGGGCTGCCTGCTGGGTGGGGAGCCTGCTTCTCCCTTTCCTTCTCCCTGTTTGTGTTTTCTCTCATTCTCCCTTTCTCTCTCAAATAAATAAATAGAAGATTCAAAAAAATAAAATGGCTATAATATATTAAGTGCTCAATGAACAATAGAACAATAGGATAGAATTCAGGTTGCCTCGTTCTCAGTCCTCAGCCCATTTCTCATTTGATGTAAAAACTTTCCCACAGTGAAGGCTCACCATGACATGTAATTCTGAGAATGTACTGCTTGGTTTTTATGACCACAGATTTTGTTTTCTGTGACTACTTTTGTTGATCTTTAAGCTGGAGGTGGGGTCAGAAAATATAGCTTTGTCTTTTGGCTTTGCCACTAACTTGCCATATTATCACAATTGTCCAAGTCACAAACTCCCCAGATGTTCTAACTTAGAGCTAAAAGGGCCACTTAGAGCTAGCAACCATCCAGCTTGACTGCTTTCTTTTACGTGTGAGCAAACTGAGGCTCATGGAGGGGAATGTCTCATCTAGAGTCACAGAGAAACAGCTGGGACTCGAAAGAGCCCCTCTTTCAAGGCTCTTGTTCACAGATAACTTCCAGAAAATCTTTTTCTTTTTTTAAGATTTTATTTATTCATGAGAGACAGAGAGAGAGAAAGAGGCAGAGACACAGGCAGAGGGAGAAGCAGGCTCCATGCAGGGAGCCTGATGCGGGATTCAATACCAGAGTCTGGGATCATGCCCTGAACCAAAGAGAGACACTCAACCACTGAGCTGCCCTGGTGTCCCACTTCCAGAAAATCTGGAAAATCCATCCTGGCATCTTCATGATTCAGAACTTCAGGAGACGCCAGGTGTGGTTAGCGGTTGGGTTGGCCCTTCTCCGCAAGTGACCAGTTTCTCTACCAAGAGGAACTGAACCAGCTTCACACCTACTTTCTGGATGTGCCTTTGGACTGCGTGGTGATCAGATTCAAAAGTGCTGCAGCATTTCAGAAGGCAGGAGTTACACGAAGCACACATTTTATAGTATGGAATTGTATGCTGTCTATCTCCAGGCCCAAAGACTTGACTTAGAAAAGTCTGGAACCACTCTGGACCAATGACAAGAATAAGAGGGGCCTGATTTGAGTGGAGACTTGTACCTCCCTTCTTCTCCACTCTTGTCTCCCAGGGTCTGAATGCCTAGTGAAATAACAAATGCACAGTGAAATTAATATCCTCCCCACCTCCCGTGTTTGCCTCACCTCTGACAGTCACCTTCCCCCACCCAGTGTCCGGTGAGCATCCTTTGTTGTGTCACCCTAGCCAGCCTGCTGCACTGCCAAATTCTGCATCAGGTTGGTGAGTTGGATCATACTTGAGAGGAGTCTTTACTGGAAACATTAGAAAATAAGGAACTAACATATTGAGTGTCTACTATGTGTCGGATACTGTTCTGGGCGCTGCCATACGTCCACATATTGTTTAATCTCCATGAATAAACATTCCCTTTTTTCAGATGAGGAGGAAACTCTGAGGCTAAGTGACTTGCCTAAGGACACACAACTGGAGCATGGAAGCAGGGTTTGAATCCCACTATTCTGTAGGAAACAGGGGGCCCACCTCTGATTTTTGTTTCAGTTGTTCTTGTTACAATTTGACATCAATGGAACACCAGAGCCTGTTGTTTGGCCCGCCAAAAACCTGGCAGTAGACACTGCTGCAGCCAAGAGCACTTAGTGGCTAAAAAAGGAAATAACTTTCTATATGTGAATTCTGGCCAAATGGTGGCAGATGCTGAAGAGTCTGGGAATCCTGACCACTGTGGACTGAGGGTTTCGATGGAATCATT